CAATAAATGACATGAATGATTAATTATGGTTTTTTTTAATGAAAGAAGATTACAATGAAGAAGGTTTATAAAGGAATAGTTTTACTATTGTGTAAATGATAAATGTCGTTCATTTTAAGATAATGCATAATGGAAAAAAAAGAGAAAATAATGACAAATAAAGATATCAGAAGAGGGTTTTGTAGAGATTTTAGTAATTTTATATAGATCAAACCATGAGTCAATTGAAGCTAGACCATCATGGAAAACATGGAATCATTGGATGGCAGTTTCGTCTTATTGTGGGAGTCCTCAGCAGTGCGCATCCACGATCCTGTCTCGCAAGACTAGAACCCAGGACCAGTCGGTGTCGCGCTCGAACGCTTAACCTCTAGATCACTGAGATGGCATCTAACGGTGCTAATGTCTAACTGTGACCGATCCACGAAATTGAGAGACACATCCACAATTGTCTTCAGTGAGTTATTATCTCCCAGAAGACCTGGTTGAACTCCACTGATCTAGTGCTTCTCAGTAGAACTCCAGGAAATGCCTCTTGAAGCCAGTCACTAGTGAGCATATGACTATTATCATGAAGGGGTGTTGTGGAAATTTTAGTATCAAATCTTGCGGGTTGGGATCGTGGGTACGCACTGCTGAGGAGTCCCACAATAGAAAGAAACAGTCGTCCAGTGCTTCCACGTTTTCCATGATGTTCTAGCTTCGATTGACTTATAATTTCAACTAAAAAATAAAGATATGTTTCCTTATGGATTATATCAAATGTAAAAATTCATTTTTGGTATTGTTTACTTGAAACTTCACATTGATGTTAAGCACTGTAATTGATCAGTCTCTTGTTGGTATATGTGCATAGTATACGTATTACCACGATATTGCGTTAATTCACAAGCATTATAAGCAAAGGTGGATAGTGGATAATAGTGGCAATATCGAGGCATGAGCACAGTATGAACATATGCCAATAAGAGACTGATCAATTACAGTCCAAAATATCAATGGGAAGAATCAAGTAAATAATACCAAATGAACTTGAAAATTCACCCCATTGCAAAAGCAATGGCTATCAGGACTCAGTAGCTAAATGGATAACGCGATGGCGTTTGAAGCTAACGGTATTGTTTTCGAGTATTGGGGTGAACATCAACTCTTAGATGGAGGTACATCCAGCTGACGAGTCCCAAATAAGACAAAACACGCGTCTTCGGTTTTGCTGTTAGCCACCATCCATTTTTGCTTATTATATCAAAAGTAATATGATTGAAAAGAATATTTCTCATTATTCGAGCTGAATAATCATAATTATGTTCCTTTTTCATGAGTACCCAATAATTTAATGTAAAACAGAAAGAAATCTTTCAGAAAAAACCTTAATTAAAGATGGATATTTATCAAATATTCTAGACTTGATGAAAAGAACTTAGCTTTTAAGCGTCATGTAATAATTGACTTTCATAGTGAATTAACTGTACAATTCACGAAGAGAACCTCAAACTTCTATAGAAAATTATTCGTTGAAGTAAGGATTTACTTTTTTCAGCTATTTTCTCGTAAACTAAGAATCATATTACTATTTCATTCGACCACATCATTCTTCATATACATCAGTACATACATGGTGTGTGCTACTGGTGTCGACAGATATAAGTAGTATGTGTCATTATTCGAAAGTGGAATGCCTGGAGGCAGAAGGCTGAGAAGATCGAATAGTAAATAACGATAAAAGAGAGTGATTGGTATGGTAACGAAAGAACAATATAGTCTGAGACAATTGATGTATATTTCGTAAATGAATAATTCACTGTATGGTTCTCAGATTTTACTAAGAGATTTTGAGAGATTATTGTGGACTGGGCGGCCTGCTTAAACATCTGGGCTACCTGTTTCCCGTCATCTATATATTTCAACAAGTTATCTAATATTGTTTGTTTTAATACATCATTATGACTTTTGAGCACACAACCTATTCCGTTGCGTTTCTGAAAACTGTACAACCTTTCGCTGTAAAAGTTAGAAAAGGCCTAATCAGAGATGTCGTGTTTGCTGGGAACATGCAGCAAAAAGAATATACATTATTCATATGTCGATTGACTGAACTGCTGACATCCAACTGGCGATCACTGAATGTTTATCATCAGGAGCAACGAAGAAATAAGAAACGTAAATATGTTGAAATACTTTATGCTGAGAATTCGATTTTGTACCAAATAATATAATATTGAATCAAGCTAATAATAATAATAATAAAAATACATTTGGTTGTCCCCACTAATGTTCTCGTTCACTAAATATGTACCTCGACGTTGTTAGACAAACCATTCATTTGATACTTGTTATATTTTGAAGTATTTTATGCTTACTTGTTTAGTATTACCATTACAATAATCAGTAGAGCTAATTCAAATACTTTATCATTTCTAGTCGGCTGTTTTCAGTAGATTATCCAAACTGTTATAACGTGCTAATCACCCGAAGTGCTGTGAATAGTGTAGCCAAATGATGGTAAATGATGAGAATCATATTAACGACACAAAGTTCCAAATGAAGAGAAATCAAAACGACAGTTAATTTAAAGAGTTCAATAAACTCATGAAAAGAGATGAATCTTCTTCTTTTAGTCATTGTTTATATCTCGTTATTGATCATATGAACGATCCTAGAGAAAATGTATTCTTCAACTTTTTGCCTTACCGACGCCGTAACTCCTTATTCAGTCAGTCAGTCAGTCAGCTACAACGTAGGACCAGGCACAGCTATCCATCGGTCCAAGTTGCCATATATCGTTAGCACAACAAAATGAACACCAGATTCATAGAAGTAGTTAATTTAGTGGTGGTAAGATGTAAAAGATAGGATGTATATAACGATATAGCATGGGAAGAATGACAGACATGAAGCCATTTTAATCTCAAGGTATTACTCCTTATTAAATAGATCTGATACTTCTAACAGTTAGTTTTAATACTGAAAATTCTTTTAGCTTATAATACCGACAATTTCGATGTACTCTTAGATTATCACATTATTCTTTTATGCTATAAATGGCAAAGATTATGAAGCTGATAATATTTTGCATGTAACTGTGACTAGAAAGTCTAGAGGTAAGAAAAGAAATCTTATTACCGTTTACTTTGACTTAGAGTCTTGATTCATGTAGTAGTATGTAGGAAGAAAGCTAATGGCAAAAAATCAAGTTGGGGCATCAGTTCATAAAGTCATCCAATGTTTGTTTGAGGCATATTTGTATGTTCAGACTACTTGATTGAGGTTCAAACGATAATCTTGTTCACTGGTTCTATACGGTTAAAAATCAATCTCTTTGGTAAATATGCATTAATTCTTTGTTTACTTTAAGATCCTGAACGTTCAAATCATTTTATAGTTTTATTTTACAAATTCATCACTCTCTAAACCATGTCCTCTATTTCTAACTCCGCCTGTAGCTCTTCTAGAGTTACTGCTGGTCCCAAGCCCACACAGAGGAGGGGGGTTGGGCATGGGCTCAGCGACCCAATCCCGTAGAAAACTAACTCGCTAAGAAAACGCTAACCAGAAAAAATTATTCAAACCATTTAAACTTTGCTCGGGGAGTTGAAGGAATAATTATGACGCCTCAAGATGAAAGCCGAGATTTTTCGGAAGTCACAAGGCTGATACCCCTTCTAACAACCAGAGCAACACTCTTTATAGGTAAGTTTCTATTTCTAATCTTGAATTTTCAATATCACTGAAAATCATAAATAATAATTCTATTGGCATTCATTTTGATGATTCTATTTCGTTGTTACGATATACTATTGTTGATTTGACTTAAACAGATTTGTGTCAAGTGCTACAACACTCAACTATTTTACTGATTAAACCCATTAGATTTACACAAAATAAACTTGATATTTTCTTCATTCATGAGAGTGAAACAAATCTATACTGATGATACATTCGATATCAAGTTTGAAAAACTGCGGTAGATATTTACTAATAATGGATATATACCTAGATTCATTGAGAAAAATCTGAAACCCAAACAACAATGTGAAAGAGTGTTTTTAAAATGACAGAAGACCTTTGTTATAAATATTCAATTCAAAGAAGACACTACGGCAGAAATTCCAAAAATGTAGATTTTTGAGATCTTTAAAAACGGTATTCTGTTCAACTGATTTTCGTATTGTCTTCTCTAATCAGTCGTTAATTCGTAGTTATATGAAGGGTGAGCTCCTTCTTTGAACCAAATCACTTTGCATCTACCAGTTTACCTTTTGTTGTGGAACATTTTATTTTGGCCATATAAATCCGTACTCTTTCAAAGCTCATCTGGAAACCTGACCCTGTCTGGCTATCTAAAGGAATACAAAAGTCACTTAAACGTTTACTCCCGGAACATTTGTTCAAGTTTCATCTCTCTGTTTCATCAGAATCCTGCTTCAAAATCATTTTTATAGTCATGAAAATCGGCTCGAAAGGGATAGAAACTAAAAACTTATGTATGGTAGAGGCAATGGTCATCCACTAATCCAAGATTAACATTTGTTTACGAAAACAGTATGTTCAACTCCTCGTTCTTTCATGGTCTTGACCTATCTTTATATCTTCCACAATGGACAAGAAAACACTAGATATTGCATATATATTGAAATGGAAAGCACATTCCCTACACATTGACTTACACGCATCCTATCCCAATATAAATACTGAAACGAATACAAACTCGCATAAATAATAATAAATATAGTTCATGTTGAACATTTTGGGGTTTTCCTTGATTCATTAGTGTAGTAGACGGTGAGTTAGATTTTCAACCAATGTCCATTACATCAAAGCCATAATAGGAACATCGATAATGTAGTGTAAATATACCTAAATAGATTTTAGTGAGACATTATCCTAAAAAATATACCAAATCCATGACCACGAGTAATATTGAATTATCCAATCAGGAAATCTATGTGTCAAAATATCAACAACAATAGAATATAAATACGATAATAATATTAACTTACTTTAGGTTCTAAATGTCCAACCATTGATAATAACGGTTGAAATTCTTCAACTTCTACATGACAGACTTGACCTTTTTGAGCACGTGGTAAAATAGGCAAATGTTCATGTAGTAATGGTGCTGAATATCCACGCCATACATGTAAATGTTGACGAATTACATCATTACGTAATAGACTATATCCATTTGATGCTGGTGAATCATTTAACATAAATTGATCATATGACTTTTCGGATTTTTCTCTGCTACTACTACTACTACTAGTACCTTCTTTATCAATAGGATAATTAGATCTTTGGAAATATTGTTCAGTTGAACATAAAGAAATGAATAAGCTAATATATAAGAAAAGGGTTACATTGAATTTGGTTGTCATGTCTAGTTTGTTTTCTTTTTCTTACAGAAGGACAAAAATGGAAATGTTCAATTAAAATGTAATTTCCAGTACAAAAACAAGTCAGTATAACTTCATTACATAACTAGAAAATGTGTTCCAATGAAAGTATGTAAGAATTTATGGGCTCCATGAACTAATTGAATTCGTTCAGTGAATCCTTACTTACATAAACTGTTATAAAATAACCAATTAGATTATCAGTGTTATTTTAAACCAATCAAAATGACTGTGTCAAATGTATTATTTTTTTTGTTTTCGAGTTATACATTTTTAACTAAATAGATTGTTAGTGAATGGAACTAGTACCGATCCGTACAAAAAAACTTTCACAGTATGCACATATGCCAATAATAGACTGATCAATTGAAGTCCTAAACATTAATGAAAAGATTCAAACAAACAATACTAATTGAATTTAAACTTCACCCCATTGCATAAGCAAGTGGTTATTAGGACTCAGTAGCTGAGTGGATAATGCGATAGCGTTTGAAGCGAAAGGTACTGGGTTCGAGTCTTGGGGTGAACATCAACTCTGAGATGGAGGTACATCCAACTGACGAGTTCCAACTAGGACGAAGTGACGCGCATCCTGGATTCCACTGCTAGCCACTATTCATCTTTCCTTCACTATAAGTTAAGTAAATATTTAGTATAAATATATTTTACAAGTTATATACTAAATTGAAGTAACTAAGTATATTCGCTATTTTCAAATAGTGTGTTAATAAGCTCGGTGACAATATAATCTAACAGTTATCATATGATTTAGTGCAGATGAATGGTAGACAAAGTTCTATTCGTATAATTTGATATCTTTACATTTTCACAAATGAGTAGCTTGATGGCTTCGCTTTTAATACGATAAATTCTTGGAATTAGAGTTGATAATTTCTAGGTTTTATTTATTTATTTAAATTAATTTAAACATATATATTGGTACAGGAGGGCACCGAATACATATGTGTTACACTTAATCATTCAATTTGTGTGGGGGCTTGGATACTGTCCGGGAGCATGAACCGAGGCAGATGGTTTACTTAGAGGGTCACTCCCCTAGACTTTGACCTAAATGTCTAATCCACAAAGCAGTGGGGTGACGTCACGAGATGCAGTCCTATTGTAGCCGATGACTAAAAGGAGCTTCAGACGCTATTTGTTCCGATTTTTATTTTGGTAAGAGAGATGATAACATTCACGTATAGAATGTAGGTATGTAACTGATTTATTTCCAAACTATTTTCTTTTTTTTAAACTACTCAACAATCGGTATGTTCTGAGTTTTATTGTTTTATACTAATGCAAAAGAAAATAATGGATTAATGAAAATATTTTGGTACAGTTACTGTAATATATTTGATTTCTAGTTATTACCTGTTTGATTGTTTTATCATAGTGATGACCTGTTCAATATTGTACAAGTAAATCATATTCCTTTTACACAAATATGATCTGGTCATTAATGAAGTAAACTGGTTAAGATACTAGGTACCTATCCAAGAATTATTAGTAGTCAAACTGATTTCATAGACCCTGAATAACAGGCTTCCCTATTTCATGAGTATCATAACTGAATTTGACAAAAAATGGTATAAAACTAGGGTTTGATTCATTTGTCGTCTGGTTTAATAATTTACCACACTACAAACGGGATTCGTAAACCGCGTTTAACAAGAACTCATAATTCTACTCCAAAGAGTTCCCTTTTCTGATGATTATTTTACTTTGAAAAACACGATGAAAGTGAAACTTGTTCCACAAATGTGAAGGATAAGTGTATCAGTATTTGAAATTCTGGATAGAGACCGTAAGTTAATTGATGTTGGTCTGCGTCACCATCGACTACGATATCTAAAATCTTTGGTACGTATGTCCAACAGAGATGATGGTTAATTTAGATATAGCTTGGAAGAAAATTTTCCGTGCTTAAATCAGAGTATGATTATCGTTCTTAATGTCAATAATAGAAGGTGAAGATTTATTAATTCTAAAATTGTATCTGACTGGAAACCTTGAGAAAACCGACTTAGAATCTCCCACAATGAAGTAACTTATTTCATTAGGTTTAAATATTGCACTGAAACTTCATTTACTTAGATATCATTCGCTTTTTCTTGGCACTGATGTAAAATGTGAAAATTTGGGAAAACATTTTGTCTGTGCTGGTATGTAAAGTGTTGATAAATGCTTAATAAATTAAAGACAAATCACTTCAATTGCGATATCCAAAAAAGCTCTTTATTACTTTCAGTCCAATGAGAATCCTAAACAGGTTGTTAATATTTTCAAGAGAGTACACCAAAAAACATTGGTAATGTTTTCACCTTATTAGACATGCTAGCTAGTTTAGGAACAGTATCATGAACCCCAGTCAGAAAACGACAAACACTGGCCCAACCAACCTTTGTGGGAACTTAAAGACAATAAGATAGGGTTCGGATTTTGAGTGCTGGTACATAAATAAAGAGTGGGTAATGCAATACGTGGAGTATATAGGGAGGGGAAGTAAGACATATCAGTGTAACACGATTTTTGTTGTTACAACAGTTATGAATCCTAACGATATCTTCCCATCTTTTTCGTTATAAGTTTAGGCTGTAGGAATCCGTTTTAAAAGAAACCTATGTTAAACATGAAGTAATAAACCTCACAAAAATAGATTACATATTCCACTGTTATCATTGACTCCTAAACTGTGTTGATTGGTTTAATAATTTCGTATATGTATATACATATTACTGTATATTAAAGTCTGATGAGGATCTAATCGAAAACAGTATTATTCGCTTATATATGTTATTTAAAATTCGTCAGTTGAATTTACTTGGACCCCGACAACGATGATTCTAACAACCGATACAAAATAATTAAAACTCATCCCTTTGCACAGTGTCCATCTGAAATCAGTAGCTAGGTGGATAATGCGCTTCTGATTAAACTTGAAATTATTACCCTCGAGTCTTGGAATGAAAGTCAACTCTAGAATTCAGGTATATCCAGCTGACAACTCCTGATTAAGAGTCTTGGATTCTATTACTAGCTACCATCCCCCTCTGCTCATAGTTCACACAATACATTTTAAGATGAATGTGAACATACAACATGTTACTCATTAAACAATATAAGCTGATAAAACGATTACTAAAGAGTGTATAGTAAATTGATTTGTTTTACTTAGAAACTCTATAGACAGAGCAAAGTTTACAAGATTCTTTCTTTCTTGTGTCAAAAGATGTTGCACGTAGCATTAATTAGATACCAATAAGAAATGGTAGTATTTTTCCAAATAATTAGGTGGTTAATAAAGTTTTAACAAAAGATACAATTTCCCTGTCTATTCTAAGTGAATCTTCTCAAGTTAGTAGGATGATTTAAGTATGAGTTGTTTATGAAACAAAGAAGCATATTAAATTCACTTAGTATTGTTTATTTGAACCTTCCCATTGATGTTTTTAGGACTGCAACTGGTCAGTCTCTAATTGGCATATGTGCATACTGTGCGTATTGCCTCAATATTGCCTTAATTCACATGCATTGTAAGCAAAGATGGATAGTGGCTAGAAGTGGAATCCAGGACGCGCGTCACTTCGTCCTATTTGGGACTCGTCAACTAGATGTACCTGCATCTCAGAGTTGGTGTTCGCTTTGGGACTCGAACCCAGCACTAAGACAAAGATTTCCTTTAACATATAATATGAAACATGAGTCATTTATAATACTTGTCTACTAGTTTACTAAATAACCTTTTAAGATATGTACATGTGTATTAAGTGTCACTACGTCGTCACTCCCTTTTAATTTGAAGTTAATGTGTATCATTTTGTTCTTACAACTCATTTAAAATATATCATGCAGTTGTTCTATTCCATTACAACTGATTTAGACAACATTCGTTTGGTTCATCATAATCCGATTGTAAAAAAACTAACGAGTTAATTATACTTTGTTTTAAATGTTTTGACTTTGTTATTCTCAGTTGAAATCACAAACTAAACTTATGTAGACAACTAATAAAACCGAAAACGCATCAGAGAGCTGTTTGTGTCCTATTATGGAACTTGTCAACAGCACTCATTTACGACCACAATATGTGAGATAAAATCCATGACCAGTATCCAATGGTATACATGTTTGAATTTATTCAGTGGTCTATTAATCAAAATGTCGGGTGTGAGATCGAAGGTCCTAAGTTTGATCTTCATGCAGTAGGGTCGTGAATATGTATTGTTGAGGCCCCCGAATGTCCTGGTACGGCCGAGAGTGGGGAGAGTCCGCTCTCCCTCTCAAAATGCTCTCACATGACCACGCGTATATAGCCTCTGTCAAGGAAGTCCTGCTCTCTACCTGTTCGCACCAGAGGTGTTGTTTACGAAATTGAGAGGACGAAAAGCGAATGTCCGGCGCTTCAACCGCGTTGGTGGACACTGAAAGTCCACCTAGGGGAGTTGGAAAACCCTCATTCCAAATCAATGGTGCACATGGTCTCCAGTATCCTGAGGGAGAAAATGGCGTATGAACCAATCGTTGGTCACCGGCTACCAAGGGATTGCATCTCCTCAAGATGCTCCACTGCCTTGTGAACTAGACCTTCAGGTCAAAGGCTCGGGGTGTGGCCCCTTGAGAAAACCACCTGCTTCAGTTTGGGCACCTGGGCAGTATCACATCGAATGAGATTTGTGTGGCGCATATTTATTTGGTGCTTCCTTGTACCAATATTTATGTGTTTAAGTAATAAATAATAATAATAAATGTTGAGGAGTTTAACATCAGGAAGAAGCAGTTGTTCAGTGCTTCCGGGTTTTCAATGGTTATCTTCCTAAGATCAGTTTGTAATTCGGACCATGAAATTCCTACAATCCATAGAAACCATTCTACACTAATAATCTTGTATTCTTTCATGTATAAATTAAGTGAATTTCTAGACACGAATCATCGCAAAAGTCGAGTTCGTCAGTTATATCATTCTGAAAATCCTTTGTATT